TAAAGTTCAAATAATATTTTATACTTAATAGAATTATTTAAAAATTAAAATTAATTTAAAATAAATAAATAATGTTTTAAAAAAAGTTTTATATATTCGAGCTGGCTTGAATAAGTTCAAAGCTCGAAGGTGTTAGGGTCAAGTTTAGGTATATTAGTTTTTTAGAAGGGGTAAGATACTTTAAGTCTAATTTAAATAAAGCCTAACTTAAATTGAACTCAACCTAAATAAGTTCGACCCATTTGAATTACTGGCTTTGGATTGAACTCATTTTTTCCATTATCAAATAATGTTATATATTCTATATGGGTTCATATTTTTCAGTGATTTTGACATGATATAAGAATCTGCTTCTCATTGGGCCTAAAAACCGCAGTCCATCTAGAGTCTTGATTTGCCACCCACGTTCAGATGCCTTTATTGACACAATGATGTTGTTTGGAGGTAGGGTTTTGAGTTAGATCAATGTGACACATACTTAGAGCCATCAATTAAAATCAAGCTCATGGGGTCAGTTCTTTTAAATTAAAAAAAAATATTTAGGACTGGGTCATTATTTTGATGTGTAATATAATAAATTGGGTTTAGAAAGGTATATTTTAATTTTAATTTTAATATGAAAAAAATTGAATACTCACTAAAAGTCTAAAACCCTAACTTTATTTCATTCTGCCGTTAAGTATGTTCTCATTTCTTCTTTTTTCAATTGACTCTCCAGGATTCAACCAAAAGAGAAGCATTAAATTATATTAACATTCATGATAATAATGCTAACAAAGTTTAATTATTATTGATGCTAACTTTGTAATGTTATTTTTTTATTAAACTTACATTTGTTAAATTTTTATTTTTTTAAACTTAATGTTATGTGTAATAAATTTTTTGTAATTTTAAATACATTTTTAATAATTTTTAATTAACAACTCTACATGTACTCTTCATTGATCTTGTGGTCTTCACGTTCACACTCACACTTCTTCATAATTGGTGGTAGTGACCACGACGTTCTTCTTTCTTGATGCGACGCCTTCTGTTCTTCTCCACGAACTTTTCATGTTTCTCACTCTACATGTGCTTTGTGAATTAGGTGACTACGCGCTTCTGTGGGGTCAGCCTTTTTAAATAACTAAACAATTAAGGACTGAGTCATTATTTTGACATGTAAAATGAAAAATTAAACTTAAAAAGGTATATTTTAATTTTAATATGAAAAAATTAAATATCTGCTAAAAGTCTAAAACCCTAACTTTATTTCATTTAGCTGTTAAGTGTATTCTCATTTCTTCTCCCTCAATTGATTTTCGAGGCTTCAACCCAAGGAGAATGATCAAATTATATTAATATTAATGACAATAATATTGGCAAAGTTTAATTATTATCATTGCTAATTTTGTGATGTTGTTATCTTTTATTAAACTTAAATTTATTGTTGTCTGAATTGTCTTAAATTTTGTTTTTTTCTAAACATAATGTTATGTGTAATTAATTTTTTATAATTTTAAATATATTTTAAAAAAATTTAATTAACAGCTCCACACGTACTCTTCTAGTTAACAGCTCTACATGTACTCTTCATTGATCTTGTCGTCTTCATGTTCACACGCACACTTCTTCATAATTGCTGGTAGTGGCCACAAGGTTCTTCTTTCTTGATGCGACACCTTCTGTTCTTCTCCACAAACTTTTCTCGTGTTTGTCACTCTACATAAGCTCTGTGAATTAGATGACTGTGCTCTTCCCAAGTCCATCGCGCGCTTCTGTGGTTCTTGACGGTGGCCTGAGATTCTGAAGTTCTTAGTCTTAGTCTTCTTCACTAAGCTCAAAGCTCAAAGAACTCTAGGGGGAATATTCAACACCAGCACCATTCAAACCTGTAGCTGTCAGACTTTAAAGGATTATTCATGCATGTTGCAAAAATTGACTAAAAATATATCCTCTCTATTTAAAAATATAAAATATTTTTTAAAAAGTTGAATATTAAAAAATGTAAGGCATTTTTAATCTTTTGAGGTATAATCATTGATTTTTTTTTAAAGTACCTCTATTAATAAATGATTTTATATTTATTTTAGAGTGTTTAATAGAGGTAAATATAGAAAGATAGGGTTAGTTTGAAAGTAGATAATTACTTTATCGGGAGGTAAGATTCAATTAAAAATACCTTACATTTTTTAATATAAGAAGTATAAGATAAGGCAACAGTGGATTTATAAGGCATAGAATTTTAAATATATATATAAAATTATCACCAAAATTCATTAAAAATACCCCCAAAAAATTACCATAAACATCCATTCCAATCATTCATTTTTGTCCCAATAATCATTTTAAGATTACTCATAACCTACATTAGCATTTCCAAGCAAAGAAAATTAACATCATTTAGTATCAAATGCAAAAATAATCTTAACAAAATAGCTAGGATTTTTAGAATAAGATCTTCAAGTAAGTTGCGGTAACTTAAATCAACTATAATTATCATATAATTTGGTATACTAGTATTTTTTTAATATATAGTTCCCAACAATAAAAATATTCAAAAAAAATAATACCCATAATTATTTAAATTAGAAATTATCCCAAAAATTCACAGAAAAAAGAAAATTACCATAAATATCCATTTCAATAATTGATTTTTGTCCCAATAATCATTTTAAGATTACCCATAACTTACATTAGCATCAAGCCAAGAACAGTGGTGGAGCTAAAACTTTGAGTCAGGGGTGTAAGACAATGTAATTTAAAAATTAATAATTAAAAATAATATTCTAATTTTTTAAAATTAATTACATTGGGCAAAAAATATAATAACATAAGTAAAATTATACATATTTTTATTTAGAAAAAATATATTGAGATTTCTTTTGCCAAAAATATGTTGAGAAGGTTGATATAGAATTTAAATTTGGACCTTCAAATATTTTTTATTGAGTCTAGAAAATTTAAAATACTAAAAATATTAAGTGTAAGGTTGTAAATTTTCTATGGTACATGTGTACTTTTTCCCATGTGAGGGGGTGCATCCTCCCTCACTTGTACTTTTGACAGCTTAACTTACTAAAATCAATCCGAAATGAGCAAAAAGTCTCACAAGCATATTCAATCCATAAAAACTCTCCAAAACAATTTATAAATTATTCCCGCAAGCAAAAAATCAAATAACATTGAAAGAAAATGGTGAAAACTCACCTTGCAAATCGTTACATAATAAGTGTTTAAACACACTTGTTATATTAGGGGTGTTCATGCTTGTTCTTATTCTGGTTAGCCTATCTTTGTTTTGATCATGTTGGAATGGGTCAATCTTGACTTGAAAAAATGGAGTGAAACTTTGCAGGATAAGATAAAAAATAATTTAGAATAAGACGAGACACAGAATTATTTTCAAAATGTCCCATCTTAAGTTTTAAGGCTTGGTCTTAAGCCTTGACATTTTGAATCAAGTTTCGAAAAATAACAAATTTAAGAGAAACAAGGCTTTAAGACTCATAGACTTAGCCCATAAAAGCAAGGCCAACCCATTCACCAAGTCTAATATTAGTTTTAACTGCTCTTAGACTTATTATATTTATAAGATATGAATTTTGTATGGAGACATTATTATGTTACTCTCTTTTCTCTTTTCAATTGCAATATTTTAAAAGAATATATTTTCCTTAGCTAACCTTACTATTCATTACTATTTTTTTATAGCAAACAATTATCTACTCTTTATGTTTTAAAAAATAGCTTATAAATATGATACAAAAACCTTTTAAATGGAACATTATAAAATGGAATAAAAGAAGTATCAAATTTATTATTCATTGAATTTATCCCCTGAAGTGGCAAGTTAAGCCCAATACATCACTCTACCTCTTTATGTCCAATCTCAGACATAGCTTTGTGATTGAAGTCTTGCCTTAAGAAGTAAGACACAGCCAGCATGGAATAAAATTGGCTTTAAGAAAATGTATAGAATCAACTTTTGTCTTTGTCATCGATAGTAAATGAATTAATTCAACAATGCAAGTCCAAAAAAGCACAACTTAATTGTTCAACATCACGTTCTGTCAACTGTCAAGCATATCGATTTTATTATTTCCACCTATCCTAATGGTAGAAGAATTCTTTTATCTAATTCATAGGTATTATGAAAAAAAATTAAATTAGTTATTTACAATTGATGTATTAATAATTTATAATATTTTTTTTCAAAATATCCCTGCCATTTAAATTAGTAATTTGAAAATAATTTCATTTGCAATGAAAAAAAAAGATAGTACAAAATACTAATAAACTTTGTTTAAATAATTTTTGGTATCCTATTAAGTTATCAACAATGGTATATAGGTATCTATTAACTTTATAAAATAGGTCAACCTTCCCCTATTTGAAAAACTTAGTGATCAATATTAGACTATTTTAACTATGATTAAGGAATGTTGACCTCCCTTATAAGGTTAATACATTTTTTTTTTTTTTGAGATATAAGGTTAATACTTCAATAGGTACCCACACACACACACACACACGCTATTGTTTACTTAAGAATATCATAAGCTCTCAAGAAATTTTTTTAAAATATTTTTGCACCTTAATCATAAAAAAATAAAACTTTAAATAGATGTACGATCTATAAAAAAAATAGAGAGAGAATGAAAGTAACAATATTTTCATAGAAAAATAAATTAAAAATATCAATAAAAACAACAATTATATATTCAGGAGTTTAAATTATACATAAAACATTTAAATTTCAATTATAATTCTTATATTATAATATTGAAATTCTTATTTGTAATTGTAACTATCATTCTCCTAAAACAAATATATATTTAATATAGTAGACAGGATTGATGAGATTTTGCATTTAGAACCAAACAAAAATTATGAAAAAGCTCATACATTAATTTGGTATCATCAGAGCCACTATCATATATTAAAGGGAATGAACCTCTTCATTCCTCTCTGCGCTAAGCCACAGACTTGGATTATAGTGCCAGTTCTGAACTTCTGCCATGGATTCTCTGCAGATCCTCTCCTCTACCTTCTGTGCTTTCTTCTTCTTCTTCTTCCTTCTCCATGTCTTGAAATCAAGCTTCAATAAATCTCCCAAAACTTCCCTCCCTCCTTCAGGACCATGGAAGCTTCCTCTCATAGGACACATGCACCATCTTTTAGGGTCACTGCCTCATCAATCTTTGAGAGACATAGCAAACAAACATGGATTACCTGTGATGTTCCTGAAACTAGGAGAGACCTCCAATGTCATAATCTCTTCCCCAGAAGCCACCAAAGAGATCATGAAAACACACGACGCTGTCTTCGCCAACAGACCTTACCTTTTTGCTTATGAAATTCTGTCGTATAATGCCACCAACATTGCTTTCTCTTCCTCTGGCAGTTACTGGTCGCAGCTCAGAAAAATATGCAGCTCAGAACTTCTCTCTGCTAAGAGGGTCCAATCATTCAGGTTTTGTTTCTATATATGCTTCTTATTAATTCTTCAATTTTATCTCTCATGTGAAAATGAAACTCACTTCATAATGTGCTTTTCTTTTTTCTTTTTTTTTGATGAATGCTTTTCTTTTTTATTCTAGTACTACAACAATATGAAGTCTTCTGTGCGATGACATGCCATTGAATTTTATTATCAACCAAACTTTTAAAAATATTATTAATTATAAAAATTTATACGATGAACAATTTTTATAAATATTCTCTTTAGTCTTTCTCTCTTTTTTTTTCAGGTTTAAGATTATCCATTTTACTTTTTTTACTAGTACCTTCCACAACCTTCTCTATACATATTCACACCATTTCAAATAATTTTCTACAATTTCCCCCCTCAATAGATGTCATACTCCATTTTTTCTCATACATGCTCATTTTGAATTTATGTTTTTGTACATAGTGATTCATCTCAACATTCTCATTATCTTTGCTATTCCAATTTTATACTCATGTATGTTATTCTTTTAAAGTTCAACATTTATTATCATATAATATGGCCGGTCTTGTAATAGTTCGATAAAATTTCTCTTAAGCTTATTATTCTTCAATCAAAAATAACTCTCGCCTTTTCCCATTTAAACCACTAGCTTGCATTCTATGTGTTGCGTATTACTTCTAAATGTCTAAACTTTTTTTATTTGTGGTATGATATGATCTCTCAATCCTGCTTATTATGATAATGATCACATGCATGCATGTGGCATCAATCTCGCAATCGCAAAGGTCCTTGTCAATACAAATTCCAAACGAACAAGGCGCCCTCTTCTATCGCCATATTATGTTGGATAACACTAAATACAATGCAAGCATTATTTTTTTTTTGGTCATTTTTCATACTATTAAACATCATCGATCGAGCTGAGTAGGATAATTCTTCTGCATATATAGTTGTAGTATTTCTGTGTGTTTTTTTTATGATAATACAAAATTATTTCTGATTCATGAAGCATCAAGCGTCAGGCCCTTGAGCGTAATTCTTTGAGAGGTAGGCCAGCCCTTACATTGACAAACTCTAATTCTATGAAGAATGTGCAAAATGTAAAAGACACACATTCTTCTCGTTTTACTCAAAAAGAAAAGGGCAATTGGCGTGGAAAATCTGTAACTAAATTAACAAGAGAAATAACAATTAAAAAAACACTGGATTAGCAACAAAATAATCAATGCAAATTCCGTCCCTAAATGAGTTAGGGATGGAATTTTCATTAGGGATAGAACTTCAGTTAAAAATATTTTTAATTTTTAATTGATAAATTAGATATATATATAATATTTAACACCTGACATACCCGCCAACAAATATATTATTTCAATATAACTATTTATTTAACATTACTTTTACTTATTCATACGTTAAAATAATTATTATACAATAAATAATTCTATTGTACTATATTTTTTGAAAAATTATTTTTGATAGGAAATTTAATATTAAATTGGACAACTATTTCATTACAATTATATATTATATTATATTTTATTATATTATATTATATTTTCATATATTATATAAATTTTTTTATATTTAAATTTTTTGTTAAAAATATTCTTATTTTTAAATAACAGTAATTAAGTATATGATTTATATTATTAATATGTGAATAATTTTAACTAATAAACTATAATTATTAATTATTTATTTAATGATAATAATAAATTATATATATTATAAATAATATAATAAAATTTAAAAAATTAGCTACAAAATTATGACCGAAAAGTTTGCGATGGAATTTTTTGTCACATATTCTATCACAAAATTAGAATAAGTTATCCTAAAAATAAGCAACAGACATTTCCATTGCTAAATTATTTCTATCGGTTTAGTGACATAATTTTTATTGATAGAATTCCATCAATAAATTAGTCACTGATTAGCGACAGAAATTTGTTCCATCACAAAGTCATTTTTTTAGTAAAAAGAAAACTACTCCTTTTTATGAATTGAAAATAAAATACTTTTTACGTAACTAAAGTTGGCATGAGTGGTAAAGGTTCTCGTTATTAGTCTTTGTCTATGTAGCAATTTAATTGAAAGAGATCTATTCATTGCTCTCAGTTAGCAGAGAAATTTTTTATTGTCAGCGATCCTTATCCTTAACTAAAAAAAATAATATATTTTTCATGTGATACAAAACTTACTAATAATTGAATATATGTGTTGAATTTTTCAATGGTTTTCCCACAAGCTCCATGTCTGTCCTTATTCCACGTCCACCATAGATTCGTTGATCTCTTTCTTCAAGAAACCACTTGATTAGGAGGAAGAACTCTAATTGTTTCCAAAAATACAGGTTTATCAGAGAAGAGGAAGTGTCAGAACTGGTGAAAACAATCTCAGAAAACGAAGGATCAGAGATCAATCTGAGCAACATGATAATGTCCATGACAAATGCCATAGTAGCTCGAGCAGCTTTTGGAGAAAGATCAAGAGACCAAGAGGCCTTCCTCAGATGTGCTAAGCAGGCTTTAAAGCTAGCTGGAGGCTTTTACATTGCAGATTTCTTTCCTTCCATGAAACTTCTGCAAAATATTTCTGGTATGAAGGCAAAACTTGAGAGGCTGCATGTAGAGATTGATAGAATACTGGACAACATAATCGATGATCACAGGAAGAAGAAATCTGATAAGGTTGAAGAAGATCTAGTTGATGTTTTCTTGAAGATTCAGGAGCAAAATAATCTGGAGGTTCCCATATCTTTGAATAACATCAAAGCAACAATTTTGGTAAGTATGATTAGAAGCTTATATTAACATTTGATCATGTAAATGCTATGCATGCTTAATGATAAATATAGTGAAAGAGTAAACTGTTACTTATCACTAACTGCATATAAATATAAACTCATAAATCATTAGTTTTGTTATTAATTGTGATAAATAGAAAAACATTATACTGTCTTCATTCAGAAAAAGAAATCAAGTAGAGAATTAGAAATAATTAAGGATTTAGTCTTTGCTATAATTTGGATCATTTAATAAATTTCTTAATTGAAGTGTAAAACTTCAAATTAAAGGGACGATCATTTTAATATGGAGGAGATAGTAGCTTGCACAATGCATTTTGGCAATTAATTGAAGGAAATTACTAGCTTTATTTCATTTGTTTACAAAGCGATATTTGATTCAATTTCTTGGTACATTGAAAAGAATATTGGACAAACTAGCCAAGATGCTTAACTTTCATGATTATCTTTCCATGTCAACTCCAAATTAAAATATGCTTGATTAATTTTGAGTTTATGCTTTTTCTTATATTAAGATGGGTGAAGCAAGAATTATATTTAAGCAATATAAACCATGCTAAACAAATTCATCAAAATTTCAGGACATATTCATAGGAGGAACTGAGACATCATCAACAACTGTAGTGTGGGCAATGTCAGAGATAGTAAAACAACCTAAGATATTGGAAATGGCACAAACTGAGGTAAGAAGGGTTTTCAAAGATAAATCACATGTTGATGAGACAGAACTTCATCAACTTGAATACTTACAATGTGTCATCAAAGAAACTTTAAGGTTACACCCACCAGCTCCATTACTACTACCAAGAAAAAACAGCGAAACATGTGTAATCAATGGATACAAAATACCTATGAACACCAAGATCCTTGTGAATGCTTGGGCAATAGGAAGAGATCCAAAGTATTGGCCTGAGCCTGAAGAGTTCAAACCTGAGAGATTTCTTGATGGTGCTGATTATTATAACTTCAGAGGCACAGACTTTGAGTATATTCCATTTGGTTCTGGAAGGAGGATATGTCCAGGAATTGCTTTTGCCATACCCAATGTTGAGCTTCCACTTGCAAATTTGCTATATCATTTTAATTGGAAACTTCCTAAAGGAATGAGGAAAGAAGAGTTTGACATGTCTGAGACTTTTGTTGGGACTGTGAGAAAAAAATTAGATTTGTGCTTAATTCCTCTGTCTTATCATCCTAATTAGCAACACAATTATATTATTGTTCACCTCAGTCAATAATCCTTTGGTCTGTTTTCTTGTATGAAGAATGCGAATAAACCTGGTAGTGTTGCGAATTTGATGGATCAATATTGTATGTCTATGCGTGTTTGTATAGTAATTATGTCTTAATGAATATGGCTTAATATTTGACATTATTACTAAACTGAAGTGTTATACTTTACCAAGCAATTTGGCTCATATGCATTGTGCATTTAGAAAAACAAATAAAAAGATGGTGAATGTCAGAGAAAAAAAAGTAACACGTATATAATCATATTGTGTATGATTTGATTAATAAGGAAAGGGACACGCACAAATTATCCGATAATAATATGGTTGATAGTGTGGAGAATAATGAATGTAAATGAAATATATTTTGATTATATGTAAATATTATACAAGGAGGATCGCATCTAGGGCTCTTAGAATGAAAAAAGTCACGCCTCAAGCTCAATACATTAATTTCTATATGCCAAAAGGCCCTAAATGCAAATATGCTTTTTTAAGAAAAGACACATTCGCTCCAAATATACAAGTTTTTTAGGTGCAGGTACAATACAATATCTATAAAAAAATGACAAAGTTCATATATGAACAACATAATATCCATTTATTATATACAGCATGTGTGATTAAATTGAACAATAATGTAAAAGTTCCAAACACAATGTCCATGAATAACATGACATGGTCTATATATGAAAACAATGTGCGTTTTATTTATTGCGTTTTATTTTTTATACGCAGTCCGTATGATTAAGGGAAAACATATCGTTTCATAAAGAAACATATTTACACTTGGGGCCTTCAAATCTACAGAAACAGTTCAAAATATATTGGGTCTTTGATATGATTCCCCCCCCCCCATTTATGAGATCCTTAGATGCAATTATTCCTATTATATATTAAATTTTTAGGCCTCTAAGTTCTTTGCCAAGTATAGATATAGTTTTATAGAGTACATGGGCGTGTGTGATTTTTTTTCATTGTATAGATTAAACTAGAACTAGTAATTTGGGCTAAGCCCAACAGATAACTCGAACCCACCTGAAAAATTTAAGACCAAGTTCAAAAAAATATTAATTTTTAAATGTTCAAGCCTATTTAGGCCACTTGAATAGGTCTAAGAAAATTTAGGCCACACCCAATCAGGTTCGGATTTGGCCTGAATACCCGAATTAAAAAATAATAATTTTTTAAAAATATATAAAATATGATAACTATTAATTAATTTTTAAAATTTTATACCATTTTATATCAAAATATATATGTTTGAGTGCATCACTATAGTTATTTTTTAACAAATTAAGCATAGTTATATTTTCATATTTTTATTATTTTGAATCAAACTCCGCCTATGTTTATAGCCGGTCCCAAGCCCGGGTAAAGGAGGAGGGTTGTGTTAGGCCATCAACAGCCAATGTAAAAATTTGTTGAATCTATCATGAACATGGACAATAGACGTTATAATGTTAATGCTAGGTCGTTGCCCGTAAGTAACGCGCTGCATGGCTCGAGTACAGTGATAAGTGAGTTAGAGCCGCTGTATCGGCGCCCGGATGTAGTGTTAAATGAGCAAGGGCTACCGCGTCATTCTGGACGCACGCGGCTAAAGAAGTTAGTCCATAAGAGCAAAATTAGATTTGGTACTTGGAATGTTGGGACATTAAATTGTAAATCTGTAGAGGTTGTAGGGGTTATGATTCAAAGGAAAATCAATATCCTTTGCTTGCAAGAAACAAAATGGCGTGGAGAAGGAGCTAAGGATATTCAAGGTTTCAAACTTTGGTATACAGGAAAAGTAAGTGCACGCAATGGAGTAGGCATCATTATAGATAATGAGTGGAAGAAGAACGTTGTAGAAGTTAGCAGAATTGGAGACAGAATTATTTCTTTAAAAATAATAATTGGACGTGAGACTGTTAATATTGTTAGCGCTTATGCGCCGCAAGTCGGGACAGAAGCCAGTCTTAAGGAATTATTTTGGGAGGATCTGGAGGGGTTGATTCGACACATACCACAGAGTGAAAAGATTTTTATTGGAGGAGACTTTAATGGGCATGTCGGGAGGGAAGCTGGTCAGTATGCGAGGGTGCATGGTGGTTTTGGTTTTGGAGAGCAAAACAATGAAGAGCAAACTCTTCTTGATTTCTCATTGGCGTATGATTTTAAGATTGCCAACACTTGTTTCAAGAAGAGAGATGAGCATCTCATCACTTACAAAAGTGGAGCCTCAAGGTCGCAGATTGATTTTCTTTTAGTTAGGAACACAGATAGAAAACTTTGTAAAAATTGTAAGGTGATCCCTGGAGATGCTGTAACGACACAACATAGGGTCCTAGTCCTTGATGTGTGTATTATGAGTAAAATCCAAAAACGTCGACAAGTAGTAACACCAAAGATTAGGTGGTGGCAATTAAAAGGTGAGAAGCAAGATATTTTCAGGCGAAATCTTTTGGATAAAGGAATTTGGGATTCTCAGGGAAGTGCTAACATCATATGGGAGGATATGGCTAAAAAAATACGGGAGGTTGCAAAAGTAGTTTTGGGAGAATCGAAAGGTTCTGGTCCGAGAGATAAGGAGTCTTGGTGGTGGAATAATAGTGTACAGGATAAAATCAAGTATAAGAAGAACTGTTTTAAAGCCATACATTTGTGTAACAATGAGGAAAATTGGGAGAGGTACCGTATGGCTAAGAAGGAAACTAAGAGAGCTGTGGGTGAAGCTCGTTCCAAAGCTTTTGAAGAATTTTATAAGAACCTTGAGACGAAGGAAGGAGAGCAAAATATTTATAAGATTGCCAAGAGTAGGGAAAGAAAATCAAGAGATGTAGAACAGGTAAGGTGTATTAAGGATGAAGAGGGAAGAATTTTAGTTACAGATGATGAAATTAAAAATAGATGGGAGACTTATTTTTCTAAACTTTTCAATGATGGAGAGGATTCATCTAGTAACTTGGAGGATTTAGTAACTGGTGAAGGAGAACAAAATTTGTCATTCTATCGAAAAATACGTGATAAGGAGGTAAAGGAAGCTCTTAAGAAAATGGCAAATGGTAGAGCTAACGGACCTGATTGTATATCTATCGAAGCGTGGAAATGTTTAGGTGAAGAAGGGGTGAGATGGTTAACTAAGTTATTTAATGTGATTTTACGGTCCAAGAAAATGCCTGATGAGTGGAGGAGAAGTACATTAATTCCTATTTATAAAAATAAAGGAAATATTCAGAATTGTACTAACTATAGAGGGATTAAACTCATGAGCCACACAATGAAATTGTGGGAGAAAGTAATTGAGCACAGGTTGAGATTGGAGACAAGTATTTCTGAGAATCAATTTGGTTTTATGCCAGGTAGATCAACTACAGAGGCAATTTATCTACTAAGGGGATTAATGGAAAAGTATCGTTGTAAAGATAAAGATCTACACATGGTTTTTATTGATTTGGAAAAAGCTTATGACCGTATACCAAGAGAAGTGCTTTGGAAAGCGTTGGAAAAAAAGGGAGTACGGATTGCTTATATTAAAGCCATACAAGATATGTATGAGGGGGTAAAAACTAGTATAAGAACGCCTAGTGGTCAAACAAAGGATTTTCCTATAAAGATTGGACTACATCAGGGATCATCTCTGAGTCCTTATTTGTTCAACTTGATTTTAAATGTTTTGACGGAACATATTCAAGAGGAAATCCCGAAATGTATGCTCTTCGCAGATGATATAGTTCTTATAGCAGAGACAAGAGAAGAGGTTAATTGCAAACTTGAGTTATGGAGGAGGACATTGGAGTTGAAAGGTTTTCGTCTGAGTAGAAGTAAGACGGAATATTTATATTGTAAATTTGGTAAAGGACTATTCGAAAATAATTTGGAAGTGAAATTGGGAGATCAAATTATACCTCAAGTGGAAAAGTTTAGATATTTGGGAGCCATTATTCAAAATGATGGCGAAATCAGTGGAGATATTTCACATAGAATTCAAGCTGGGTGGTTTAATTGGAGAAAAGCTAAAGGAGTTATTTGCGACCGTAAGGTGCCTAATAAACTTAAAGGAAAGTTTTATCGTACTGCTATCAGACCGGCAATGTTATATAGTAGTGAATGCTGGGCTCTAACGAGACAGCAAGAGCATAAAGTTGGAGTAGCAGAGATGAGAATGTTACGATGGATGTGCGGACATACACGTAAAGATAAAATTCGAAATGAGCACATACGTGAAAAAGTGAGGGTGGCACCTATTGAGGAAAAAATGGTAGAAAATCGGTTGAGATGGTTTGGGCATGTACAAAGAAGACCAAGGGAGGCACCAGTGAGAAGAGTGGAACATATAACTTTAAGTCCGATTAAGAGAGGTAGAGGAAGGCCTAAGAGAACACTCTTGGAAGTTGTTGAACGTGATCTCTTAATTAATAATATTTCTAAAAGCTTAATAAATGATAGAGCACAATGGCGTCTTGCAATCCATGTAGCCGACCCCACCTAGTGGGATAAAGGCTTGTTGTTGTTGTTGTATTATTTTGAATCAATAAAATATCTCAAAATAATATGTAAAATATATTTTAATATTTATTTTTATATTTTTAAGACCCAATTTTTTTTAAAATAGTTTTGAGTCCTATACATCATTTGTGTATAAAAAAATTAATTTTATATTTTTTATAAAATAAAATAATTAATTTTAAAGTAAAAATGAAATTAAAAATAATTTTAAAAATAAAATTTTGGCATGTACAAATTTCCGACTCTAACATTAGCTAGACATAATAAATAGAACAATATTATTGAATAATTACTTGATTATTGTCTACGTTAGACTTAGTTAAAAATTAAGAATAAACTAGAGTAAAAATTCTTTCTATGTAAGGGTTAAACAATATAAAAAGTTAACGAAAAATAAAAAAAAATAATATTTTACTCATAATTAAATAATTTTTTTATATAATATAACAATGGCTATTTTTCTTATATTCATGAAAATAAAAAGTATAATTTATTCAAAAGTTATGAAAAACTTTAAACTAATCAGGACAACAATTTTAAGTCAGTTGTCTAACC